TGCCCAGGTGGCCCCTGAATATCTCTAAGGATGGAGACTCCACAGCCTCTCTGGACAACCTGTTCCAGGAGTTGGTCAACCTCACAGTCAAGTTTACCTCATGTTCGGAGGGGTCCACCTGTGTTTCTAGTTTGTGTCCATTGCCTCTCGTTCTGTCACTGGGCATGACTGAGAGGAGTCTGGCCTATTTTACACCCTCCCTTCAGATACTTATACACATGGATAAGATTCCTCCCTCCATTTTCTCTTCCACCTTTTCCTCATGTGAAAGATTCTCCAGTCCCTTCATTCTCTTGAAAGCACTTTACTTCTTTAGTTTGGAGGAGCCCAGAACGGGACACCTCCAGTTGTGGCCTCACCAAGACTGAGTAGAAGAGGAGAGGGCCTCCTGCAGCTGAGACACAGCAGAGGATATGGAAAGGGGACTGGAGGGGACACAGCGGGCCCTGAGATCTGCAAAACCCTCCAGGAGCCCCTTGTCACCCCATGTCCGTGCACAGAGAGCAGGCACAGACCAAATAAGTTTCTGGCAGGATCTGTAATTCCCTGAGGAGAAGAGGCCCTCTTGACCTGGAAATGTTCTTCCTAATGCAGCTGAGGGAACTAGGGTCCATCTGTGCTATGAGGGCTCATTGCTGACCCACAGTCAACTTGATGTCCACCACGGCCAACAGCTGCTTCTCTATAGATCTGCTTTCCAGCAGGTTATCTTCCAATTAGCCTAAATATATTTATGTAAGTACATGAATATATATTATATATAGTGACTTCAGTAATTAGATGCCTGGTTCTCAGGTAATGCCAAGATTAACACAGTAGCTTAATGACAGTGCCTTTTTTCTGAAAATTCCTCCCTGGTTGCTACTGCTACCTGTCACTTCTGTGTCAGCTGTGAGAAAACCACGTTTCAGGGTATCTCAGCAGGATCTGCACAGCACGAATGGCACGATGACATGAGGGGGACGTAACGGGGCGAGGGGGGCACGAGCTCAGCGCTCTCCGCACCGTCTCCAGCAGCAGCAGCAGCACAGCGAGGACGGGCCAGGAGGGCCCTGTGCTGCTGCGCTCGTGTCCACGTCCTGCTCCGGGCAGCAGCGGCCCCGGGGCCTGCAGCCAGCTGGGGCCAAGGCCGTGCAGGGGCTCAGGCCGTGGCCGCGGCCAA